ATATCCGTGCTCGAACTTCCTACTTGTTTCCTGCAACGCACCATCACTGATAAAAGAAGAAAGAACATAATATTCCGAGTATTCAGTTGTCCAATCTCCATTCATACTCATGGCCATACGACAGCTTGCTTTCTGTCCGTCTATTTTACTTGCCGTCTTTCACTAGAATAGTAGTGAACTGCTTTAGAAAGAGTCCATGATCTACCCACTTTTCCAGACAAAACTAATTTGGATAACTTTAGAGTATGTGTACCAATTCGAGATGCCAGTAGATTCTTTATGTCCCAAGTTTTCTCCATTGAAGTTGTGTTACAAATAACAAATGCATAGTATCCCTCTTTCGATTGTCCAGGTGGGTTTGGCTCTGAAGAAGCTATTTGAAGAGGGTGTAGTCAAGCGTGAAGATCTGTTTATCACCTCTAAGCTATGGTAAGACAAATTTCTGGTGATACCCCTGTGGTTATATCTCTTCAGTGCTTCATGTCCAACTAATTGCTGCTTTAATGGGTATGCTTTTTCAGGTGTGGTCATCATGCCCCAGAAGATGTGCCTGAGGCACTTGGGGATTCCCTCAATGACTTGCAGCTTGACTACTTGGATCTTTACCTTGTAAGTTGTATGGATCTTCCTTGTTAATGAGTCATAGTTCAGCACGTTATTTGCTCAGTTATGGTTTCTCTGTCTTCAGTGTCTCATGACCACCATTGGCATCAATTTATAACAAGTAGCTATTTCATATATTCCATTCATTTCTTTTAGTAAAAGATAATGTTCCTCAATCGACGGTCAACTTACATTATTGTGAAATCATGCATCAGCGTCCAAAGTTTGTCTATGTTACATCTGCTACAGTGCTAGTCTGCTGGATAATTATATTCCAATATTGTGATGTGAAGAGTGACTGGATCATTGAAAATGTGATTTCCTCCTATCACCACCCATTGGATATGCTGGCAGTTATTTCTGTCCTGTTCAACAACTCCGATCAGTAGTGTTCAGTTAACCTTATCAAATCCATCCATTCTGGTATTGACAGACATTGTATTGTGGACTTCTGCTTACTAAGTCTATGGATAATTTGGGGTTTATTTGTAATACTTCTGTCTAACTTTTGATATAGATGATTGTTTGTTGAAAGGGTTTCGTATGTTGTTGTAGAATAATGTCAAATGAAAAACTAATGGCATGTATATTTTTGTAGATCCATTGGCCATTTAGAGTCAAGAAGGGAACAAGCATTGGCAACCCTGAAAACTTCTTACCACCTGACATCCCAGCTACATGGGGAGCAATGGAGAAGTTACATGATGCCGGCAAAGCTCGTGCAATTGGTGTGAGTAACTTCGCATCGAAGAAATTGGGTGACTTGCTTGCTGTAGCTCGCATACCTCCGGCTGTTGACCAGGTGGAGTGCCATCCTGGTTGGCAGCAATCTAAACTCCATAGCTTTTGTCAGTCGGCCGGTGTTCACCTCTCTGTAAGTCTACCATCTAACTCTATATTTCCGTCAGTCAAGTGACTGCTAGTGGTGTTTGTAGCATTATCTTTCAGAAGTTGTGCTTGTGCTTATGATTCAGCATCTGCATGTTGCAGGCGTACTCACCGCTAGGTTCGCCTGGTTCAACATGGATGAATGGCAATGTCCTCAAAGAACCCGTCGTCCTCTCAATTGCAGAGAAGCTTGGCAAAACTCCTGCACAAGTGGCGTTGCGCTGGAACATTCAGATGGGCCACAGTGTACTGCCAAAGAGTGTGAGTGAAGAACGGATAAAGCAGAACCTTGCTGTTTATGACTGGTCTATTCCAGAAGAATTGCTTGCAAAGTTCTCTGAGATTAAGCAGGTGAGTTATGCAACTTCATATAGACATTTTTCATCTACTTTTAGCTGTTTTGTGCCTCAGCCATCGCCTATTATCATATACGAGCTGCTTGATATGATTTGGAGAAGATTACACTGCTATTTGATACCGAATTTGAAACATACACAGTATACACTGGCTTTCTAATGCCCCATTGGAAATTTCTTATAGAACTTATAATTAAGTAGCATTTCTGAATTTGTATTGGGTAGCTTCAGTGCCAAGATACTCATACAGAAATGTTATTTTATCCTTGGATCATGCCTGTTAAAAGAAAATTAGAAGCACACGCGCAATAACAAGCAGCAATAATATACTAGTTCAGAAGCATAGCGTGACGGATTCTAGTGAGATGATGCACAGGTTTAGGTCTACTCGCCACAAGATATAACCAATGGTTATGTTCCACTCTTTTTTATTTTTTGAAAATTCTATTGCTTGTTGTTTCTAATTATTAATGGTCCAATGTCACTTACATGACATAAGAAACTGCTTATTCGTTTTGGACTGAATGGGCTACTATTCCATTCGCTGTTAATGGAGCCCTATTTTCCTTTGTTTCTTTCCTTATGAAAGGAGTACTGATCTTTTAAGGGACCTACACTTAATACCTTTTACTCTAGGAAAACACAGATAGAACAAAACCACCACTGAATTAACTGTCTAGTGGCTACGGCATTGCTTAATCAGGCCAACGTTGTTTGTCACTTCAGCTGTCATTCACATATTATAGAACAAAACTACCACTGAATTCACCGTGTAGTGGCTATTAGATGCTGCATGACTTGATCAGACCAACGTTGTTTATCACTTCAGCTGTTGTTTGAAACAAACAGCGTCAGGTTCCTAATCCTATAGATCCATAAAGACGGGTACACGTCAATGATGGCCTTCTGAATCCTGATCCTGACTAGTGATGGCATCGTTAACCATCCGCGAACTACAATATGCATTTTCAGCCAAGGCGTTTCATTCATAGCACGCCAGCGTGAGTGCAGCAGTGCCCTAGTCATTTCTGACTTGCCATCCTTTTCTTGTGCTCTTCAGGCTAGGCTGCTTATGGGCAACTTCATCGTCAACAAAGACAGCGTTTACAAGACCCACGATGAGCTCTGGGATGGCGAAATCTAGGACAGCCCCCGTCGTGGTTGGGAGCTGGGCGTCTCATTACTGTCAGTCACTTGTTTTTCCTTTGTTGATAGCAGTGTCAGTCACTTGTTATGTATCACCATATGCGCTTAAGAAATGTACGGGTTCAGTCACCCTGGAAACTATTGAATAGACGCACGGTTTACTCCCGTAGGTGATAGGACCATAGGAAGTGAGATGACATGTATCTTAAGTTTCTGAAACTATCTCGTGTTGCCGGTGGAGGCATGAATTTATCATAGCTTTTCATGTCACTGGGATTGTTTGTTCTGTATGGATCGTTCCTCCAGCGAAGTTGATTCACATGGTAATAAAACTGGGGCCGTTTGTTTACAAGTTGATTGCTCGATTTTTCTCTTCTGCTAGCAAGTAGCGATAAGTTTCCACTCAAAGCTCGCTAGATTTTCCATGGATAGACAGCGTCGGGGAGAGGCCGAGAGGAGCCGTCGACTTGGCACCCACAGGTGACACACGGGTCCCATGGCCGCATCTCCTTGGGCTCGGCACCGGATGGGTGGGACGATCTAGACGTGTTAGCGATTTACTGAATGAGGAGGGTGATGCATGGGATAAAGCTAAATTGGTGACCATGTTTTCCCCGGATGATATCCAGGATATTCTGCAAATTTGTGTGGGTGGACAGGGCTCTGTAGATTTCCCTGCTTGGAACTTTATAAAAAATGATGAATTTACTGTAAAGTCTGCATATCATCTATGTATGGAGAAGAAAAGGGCAAGAGCTGGACAGCAGGCTCTTCGTCATCCACCACGACCCACCAAGGTTGGCTCTCTCTGTGGGGATCCAAAGCTCCTGGGAAAGCGCTGATCCACGTTTGGAGATTGATCAAGAATGGCCTGGCGGTGGGCTCGGAACTTCTACGGCGACATATCAAGGCGGGCGTTTTTTGCCCTGCATGTGGGAGAGAAGAAGCTATATCATCGGTTTTGGGCCTGTTATCATTCGGCAATGTTTTGGAAGGAGCTGGGCTCGGCATTGGGTGTAAGGGTGGCGATCCCACCTGTATCCATGAGCACCCAGAGTTCGCTCGCGAAGTGGATGTTACAGTGGCTGTCAGAGGCGTCGGACGAGGAAAAGTCCATGATGATCCAGGGCATCTACGCACTATGGTTAGCACGGAATGAAACACGCGAAGGAAAGAAGATTGAGGAGCCGGAGCAGATTGCAAAAGCGGTGGTCATGCGACTAGAGGAGTGGCAAAGAGTAATGGGTGGCCATGGTTCAGTTGCAAGTAGCCAGCTGAAGGATACTTGGAAACCCCGGGAGCATGGTTGGCTGAAGGCCAATGTAGATGGAGCTATGGTGCGGTCAGGGGTGGGAGGTGGAGGGGGTGTGATCTTTAGAGATGAACATGGAGTTTTCAGAGGTGCAGCGTCGGTGTTTTTCCCGGATACATGCAGCGCGGAGGTGGCTGAACTGCCTGCATGCAGACGAGCAGTTCAGGAAGCTGTTCAGAAGGGAGTGCAGAAGTTGCACCTTGAAACGGACTGCCAGACTGTTGCTGGGATGCTAAACGAAAAGAAGCGGAATTTATCAGCTATGGATCAAATTGTAGAGGAAGTGAAATCAATGTGCAGTTCGCTTGCTGAGTGCAAGATCACCTGGGTGAGGAGAACAGCGAATAGAGCTGCCCATGGGCTGGCTAAACTAGGAATAAGTAATATGGTTTCGATGTTTTGGGACCTTGTTCCCCCTGATTGTATTCTAAGTATTGTTTCAGACGAGATCCTTTCATTAGTTTAATAAAGTGAGAAGTGAATTTAAAAAAAAAACAGAACAAATCCCGGCTCGTTTGGGCGATATTGCTTCCATCACGTTCGCTTCCTCTTCAACCTCGCGTTCTTTTTGTTGCTTGGCGAAACGAAACGGCTTTGGAGGACTCCAGGTGTGCCCCTCAGCTCGTGATCGCATCCCCATCCCCATCCCCGCCTCGCTCGCGCGGGCGGAGACCGCGGGGTGGCCGGAGAAGAGGATGGCCGCCGCTCATTTCACGCTCAACACCGGCGCCCGCGTCCCCTCCGTGGGCCTCGGCACCTACAAGGCCGCCCCGGGGGTCATCGCCGACGTGCTCAGCGCCGCCGTCAAGGTACCAGCCCTCTCTCCCCATCCCCTTTTTAACCCCAGTTCAGACCTGTGCGTGCTGTTCTAAGTCTGCTTGCTGCGGCGATGGCAGGCAGGGTACCGGCACATCGACTGCGCGCCGCTGTACCATAATGAGAAGGAGGTTAGTCCGTCAGTTAACCCTGTAGATGAACAGTAAATCACATGCTTGCACACGGCTTTGATCTACAAGCAGATTACGAGGAGTGACTCGTCGTGTTCCTGTACTAGATTGGCGTTGCTCTGAAGAGGCTCTTCGACGATGGCGTGGTCAGGCGAGAGGACCTCTTCATCACTTCCAAGATATGGTACCTACCATTTTCTTCCACAAGGCTAGCATTTGTTTCGAACTAGTCATTTCACTTCCTATCGTAGCAACCAGAGAATCAAAACCCTGCACTTCTTCTGCATTTAAAGAAGCCAAGAACTCTGCACTTCTTCTGCATTTTGAAGAAAACTGTGTGCTACTTCTGTAGGTGCAGCGATCTCGCACCCGAAGACGTTCCGCTCGCAATCGACAGCACACTGAAAGATCTGCAGCTGGATTATGTGGATCTATACCTAGTAAGTTGGATCACCTTTACATGGATTCGGAAGTCCATAACTGAAAGATTGCCATCTTTCTGCTGTTAACGGCTGACTGTTCTGGACATCTATGTAGATACATTGGCCATTCCAGGTCAAGAAAGGCACCGAAATAAGCCCCGAGAACTTTGTCCACCCTGACATACCCAAGACCTGGCAAGCGATGGAGCAGCTGTACGATTCAGGCAAGGCTCGTGCCATCGGCGTGAGCAATTTTTCCTCCAAGAAGCTAGGTGATCTGCTTGCCATTGCCCGTGTCCCTCCGGCCGTTGATCAGGTCGAGTGCCACCTTGGCTGGCAACAGGCGAAGCTGAGGGCGTTTCGCCACTCCAATGGGGTTCATCTATCAGTAAGTCTGCATCTGCATGTGTGTTTCTGAGCACACTTGGCAAGTAACAATTGAGTGTTGTGCTCATATGCTTCTGGTCTGCAGGCGTATGCGCCCTTGGGCAGGATGAAAGATGTCGCGAGTAACCCGGTGGTGACATCAGTAGCCGAGAGCCTGGGGAAAACTCCGGCGCAGATCGCTCTGCGCTGGGGTCTTCAGCAGGGTCAGAGTGTGCTTCCCAAGAGTGCTAATGAGTCGAGGTTGAAGGAGAACATTGCTCTGTTTGACTGGTCTATTCCTGAAGAACTGTGCGCCAAGCTTTCTGAAATAAAACAGGCAAGTTTCGAACATCGCATTTATTTGTCTGGGCCTCCGAGGTGCAGAAAATGTTAAGATTGCTTGCTACAATGTTGGCATTGGCAAATGCGCATATACGAAATGTCATAACATGAAACTAGTTCTGGTTAACTCATACTCCCTCCGTTCCAAAATAGATGACCCAACTTTGTATTAACTTTAGTACAAAGTTGAGTCATCTATTTTGGAACGGAGGGAGTAGTAGTCTAAGCAAAGGTTGTTGTAGTATACGCCTGGTTGTGTTTTGTTATATACAATTGTAGAATTGTTACTGATACAAGTGTGTCTTGTTCAATGCTCATGTTGGAACAGGTTAAGCAAATCAGAGGGGATTCGTTTGTGCACCCTCAGAGCATTTACAAAACCTACGAAGAGCTCTTCGACGGAGAGATTTGAAAGGAGACATCAGAATTTGGATGCACCACTAGAGTGTTGGGAACTGATAATAGCAACCAGCCGAGGAACAAATTTGACAATTATGTTTTTGCTCTACTGTAAGATAATCACAAGTAAGAAATGATGAGGATACATCGAAGGCTAATAATAATAATTTCCTCCAGTGGCTTGGCACGGTACTAGAATGCAAATATGTGTTTATAGTTGCATCCCCCCTTCACCTCCAAAAGAGATGGAAAAACATAACAGGGGGTGGTGCCCTGGTGCACCTTACTAGTACTTTCCAAGCATAACTCTGCAATGGTACTAACTGTACATCTATAACATGCCACAGATTCAACTTTCAACTATACAGGAGCCAAGAAACCCACAAGGTAGCTCCCATGGTACGAACCGGAAGAGACGTTTAAGGCTTCGCTGAAATTTCACCATGCTTCTCGAAATTCCTTCCTGAATCTGTTGAGACGGCCTTTCAGATTACGTTCTCTGAAGCTGGCATGAATCAAGGTTACTGCAGGGTAGAAACTCAACTTGTTAGGGCAATAGTGTTTTACGCAAACGTTCTGAAACTCTAATTAGATGGCCTTACCGAGTAGACCAACGTATAGTTCCCACGGAACTATCAGGAAATTGCAGGAGCTCGCCCAGAAAATGCAGCTAACTGCAAACATATTAACAGTTCATTTCTGGTTCTGTTGTAACTGAAATTTTGCAAAAAACTAAGGTAAAAATGGCATCATATGTGTTCTACCAACCTTCAAAAAGGAACAGGGCAAAGACCCACATAGACAGAGGTCGGCCACAAATATGAGTTGATCCTTTCATACTTGGTCGGCCATGACGGACAGAGCTGAAATGCCATTGGCAACAATCTAAACAAAGCTCTCCAAGAAACCGAGTAAAGGAATAATAATAAAACCAGGCAATAAGGTAATCACTTTATGTATGGTCTCATCTGGGCCGCTAAATCCGGTGAAAATTTTCTGACAATGCTTATAACCTTGTTGGTGGAAGTAACAGCAAAACTGCAATATCGAACATCAAAAGTACCTAATCAGTAACAATCATCAAAAGTACCTAATCAGTAACAATCATCCTGGTAGAAGTCTGAGGTATCACTGTTTCCCCACTGTAAAGAGGAGTAACTGAATAATGTTGAATAGAGCAATAGAAGTGACAACAATTGGGAGCCGCGGGGCTAGATAGAAGAGATAAAGCTTGCTATGGTGATACGCATCTATTGAGCGTATTACAAATAAATTGCTCAGGTACTCGTGTCAATCCTTCATCTGGAATATAAGAGATACTTGGAGATTGAAAAGATGGACAGAACCCCGTGCTCATTTTAGTTGGGAGGGACATGTTTTCTCATTGTAGGCATAACATTAGCAGTGAGAAAGTTTAAACACACCTGTCACTGAAAAATGCAATGCTGAGGCCAGTTGCAAAAGCTGTAAGTATAGCAACTGGTTTCTGAAGGAAGCTCATCCCTGCATATTGCATACACAAGAGAACAGAAATATGAAACCCAAAAACTTCGTGTAACTTATAGAAGCCAAAAACACCGGTACACGCAGAGGTCCCATTGCGTACCTATCAATAGGATCAAGATGAAGTAGTTGGTCCCATAGCTGCAAAACATCAAAACAGATGGAAAGGAGCATTAATAAGGGGGGTATATGGGACGGCACAATGGCACAAATATACATATTTGCAAACTGGCAGTACACAGTTAAAAGTAAATGGCAGTAAGGCATCCCATTCTAGCGTATCAAATATTCAAAATCAACGCTCAGATATTCTGTACTCGAGTCGTTAATAAGTCATGACTCGAGTATCTGTTCAGTAGCTACACTTTGGCTCAATTGTTTTTAAATACTTTTTTTGGTGAAACAAACATCGATTCTTTGAAGGGGAGCCTTGGCGCAGTGGTAAAGCTGCTGCCTTGTGACCATGAGGTCATGGGTTCAAGTCCTGGAAACAGCCTCTTACAGAAATGTAGGGAAAGGCTGCGTACTATAGACCCAAAGTGGTCGGACCCTTCCCTGGACCCTGCGCAAGCGGGAGCTACATGCACCAGGTTGCCCTTTTTTTTAAACATCGATTCTTTGACATAATCCCTAGCTAATATTTCCAGCAGTGACACCATAATGTGCACAATTGATGCAACATTATTCTCAGTTTCCAACAGCACACAAAAATCACGCCCGGATTCGGCCTGTTCGTCCAACTTAAAAGTCCACAGTGTTAATGGTTTTTACTTCTTATTTTTCCAGCCGATTTCGAAGAAAACTATGAACCACCTGCGAAGACGTATCAACCCTCTGTCTCCCCGCGAGCCCAAATCGAAACAGGTACCCAACCAATCTACCGCGCTGATCATTCGGTCGATGATATAGGCGAAGGAACGGGCAGAGAATCGAGCGATGGATCGTACTAGTAGAGGTTGCACTCGAGGCGGCTGATCCACTTGGAGCAAGACCGCGGGGCGCTGAAGCGGGAGAAGAACTCGGAGGCGGGGCGCGGCGGCGGAAACCAGACGAACTCCCGCATCGCCTCCACCACGTCATCCGCCGTCGCGGGTCTGCCGTCCATCGCCGCCGCTCGCCGCCGACTACGAAGCCCAGACGCTATCGATCGAGGAGAAGACGGGCGCTTGGTTCGAATTTGGCGAGCCTCGGCCCGGTTGGAACAAGACTCGTACGTACTATCTGACCGCACGCAGTTTTGGCCGTCCGATTCATGGACCAACGGCTCAGATCGGGCTCTCAGGCCAAGTGTGGCACTACCCCGCATGCCGCGTGCAGTTGTACACTGGAGAATTGGAAGGTCACACTTGTAGTTCATCCTGAACTCGTGACCCAGCTTTTTTTTTTGAGCGGTGTGACCCAGCTAATCTATTGCGTGTTTGCATTGGTGATCTACGGTTCAAATAAGGTAATGGGCTCTCGATGATATTTGTTTCTATTTCTGGCACACATCTCACACATCTAGATCAGGATGGCACATCTACGTTTACATCGGTGAAGCTCCTAGTGACACGTTGGATAGGAAGATGTGGGTGAGAATTATTCAGGATATTGTCTGATGATATATCTGGTTTCAAAATTTCGATGATGACGATAATCGATTTATATTTAAAATTGCATGGCGCCACATCTGATTGGATATCAATTCTATATCCGCCAAGTGTTTGAATTATTATGCTGGATCAACCAGGAACCATTCAATCCATTTTGCGCCATGCTTTGGTTGACACGTGACAAGTTTAAGTTGCCATGTTTTAGTTTTCTCTCGCAAAATTCTAGCATGCGTACACGCAATAAGAATATTCCCCCAGGCACGAAATGCACGTTATATCAGGGCTTTACATGTATTCTTATTGGTGATCTACAGTTCAAATAAGGTAACGGGCTCTCAATGATCTTTTTCTATTTCTGGCGGATCCACTGAGCCATGACACCTCACATATCTAGCGGTGGTCGTCTCCACACTAACATAGTGATGTTGAGTTGCACATTGGTGAAGCTCCCCGTGACACGCTGGATTGGAAGATGTGGGTGTGAATTAATCAGGATATTGTCGAAGGCGATGTAGGGTTTAAATCTCCAGTGGCGCTAATATTCGATTCAAATTTAAAATTGCCAGATGCCACATCTTCCGATATCAATTATGGATCCGATAAGTGTTGATCATTATGGTCGACCGACCAAGAACTATCCAATCCATTTGCACCACACCACACTTTGTGGTCACATGTTTAAGTTACCATGTTTTAGTTTTCTTTGGCCAATTTCTAACATCCGTACACGTAATAAGAACATACCGCGCACTCAAATTCTACTACCCCCTAGGTAGAAATAGGGCTTAAAGGTGATTGTGATCTTTCATCTTTGTTGCATGCTGGTGATAGTGATAATGTTATTATGATATGTCTCAGTCCTCTACCAGACTTCCGGGATGCAATTCGCTCCGGCGCGGCTACTCGAAAGCCACGTCAATGTTGGGCACATCCTTTGCCACTTTTGTATGCACGTGTGAAGTTGATGAATAATCGCATTGGTCCACGGACCTCTTAGAAAACACAAACTAAAATAAAACACCATTATGGTGCGTGCACGAGTGAGCGTGGTGGTGGGGAGGTTGCATCGTAAAGATCCACCAAGTTGTGACGTCTCATATATCTAGATCGGGTTGACACCGCCACGGGTGATGTTGAGTTGCACGTTGCCGAAGCTCCCCGTGACACGTTGGACTGGAATATGTGGGTGGCAATGATTGTGGATATTGTCCAAGGCCATATATGGTTTAATTTTCAATGATGCCGATAATTGACATAAAATGTAAAATTGTTTGAGGCCACATTCAATTCATATCAATTCAGGATCCGCCAAGTGTTCAAACTACTATGGTCGATCAACCAAACGCTATCCAATCCATTTGCACCAGACCACGCTTTGATTGACACATGGTCACAAGTTTTAAGCTGCCATGTTTTAGCTTTCTCTAGAAAATGCCTAGCATGCATACACGCAATAAGAATATAATGCGCACCCAAATTCTACTCCCACCCCGGGCACAAAATTCACGTTTAATCAGGGCTTTACCTTCGCCGGCGACAACGATCTTGCATCTTGTTGCATGCTGGTGATAGTGGCGAATGTTCTTGTGATCTGTCTCGCTCGGTCAGTCCTTCACCACAACCCCGGGACGCGGTTCGCTTCGCCGCGGCTACTCGAAAGCCACGTCGAAGTTGGGCGCGTCCCCTGCCACTTTTGTATGCACATGCGTGAAGTTGATGGATCATCACACCCTTTCATGGACCTTGCGGCCGCACACTTCTTAGAAAAAGCACAGCCGAAATTAAGCACCATTCATGGATTCTGTGGTGGGTTGGGGTGAGCATCGAAAGGAAAAACTCTGCTGTTCTTCTGGAGAATCATTGCGCGGTTGTTGCATCGTCTTCTTCAGAGAAACAGGAGGAACAATTGGCCAGTTTTGGATGGACGTCACGTGCTGGCATGTCTCGTTTAGACACGTCGCGCCTCCGTGATCTCGATCGTTGCCTGCCTGATTGGGCCTCGGCTCCTCACGCATCTCGCCCCGACACGTCCGGCTTTGTTCGCACGGCCTGACACGTCCCACTGTCCTGCTCGTCTTGATCATTGGTCGCTGTTTTGGACTCGACCTCTTGACGTCATTGCGCTCTCATAATTCTCGGCTTCGACATGTGACGCTCTCTGTGGACCGGCGGGACGCGTGGCGGCGGCGACGGCGACGGGGAGGGTGGCGCGTCTGTGCACTCCGGGCTATGGAAGCCACGCTGCCAATGTGCTCTACGTGTTGCAGGTTAGAAATGGAGTCCAGAGAATATGCTGCTGGTGCTGTACGTACGTGCACCTCCAGTGCTCGGCACCGCACGACTGGCTTGAGTACTGCGAAGAAACGAACTTCCACACGGCGACGAGTAAACAAACAAGTGCGATTACATGAAAAGGATAGTTCGATGAACTGCAATAGTGCCATTTAGCAGTCGTTTTCCTAGGTTTTCTAGAGAGGAGGCGACCAGGAGACGGCTAGCTTTTACCCTCGACCTGTTGGCGCCACCGCGGCTTCGCTGGCCTCGGCCGACCGCTACGGCAGTGGGACTGCGGAAGGGTGGGAATGGGTGACCCGGTTGTCTTTCCTCGTAGGGTCTTTGAATTCTTCGTTCGCTAGTGAAGTTGGAGCAGCCGACACGATGGCAACAATGGCGCTTCGGTTTTTCTTTTTCATGTTGATGTCCTTTCTCAGAGTGGTGTTGGCGAGTCGAAGGACGGTGTCGGTCATCGGGTGCATGATCTGCATGGCGGCAACGTCCCGTGGAGGTATGAAGCTTCAACGTGTTTTCGTTCTCTAGTTTCATTTTAGTGCGATGAAGCTCGGTCGGATATGACTTTGTTGGAGAATTTGTGAGACTTGTGCCTGCCTTCTCTGTCTCTTCGAAGTTGGGATTATCTTTTGGCCTTCCTCGGGGAATTTGTGAGATTTGTGCCTACCTTCTCTGTCACTTTCCGGTCGCATGCGTGTTCTGTTGTATATCAACGACTTCCTGGTTGTTGATTCTATAAACTCTTGAGTTTCAACAAGGGTGCTCCGGTAAGTTGAAGATCAAAAGCCGACAATGAGCTTTGCTCACATTGGGTCATCGGTGGACGCAGAAGGAAACACATTTGTGATTTCTTCAATGACATGTCCGTAATTTATTATTATTTTAAGAAAACTGTTGCAAGGGCTAATTTTCTTCTGTCTACGGCATTTGGCCTTCTACAAAAATTGTACCATTTAGAGCAACTCCAATAGTCACTGCATCCGTAAAAAAACACGGTTAGTTGAGGCAAAAACAACCCTCTAACAACTCTGTAGACCTGATTTTTTTTACGGGTTCTCGTGTAATTCTCCAACTCACCTCATGTTAACTGAAAGATAGCCCTTCCCGTATAATTTGACTAGCAGGGAATCGCCTGAAAGTTCACGGGTGAAACCCCTCGTGCATCCCGTGTTCCCGCACCGCCGCCATGCCAGGGCTCACCACCACACCTTCCCACATGGCCACGCCGCCACGTCTCCCCGCTCCGCAGCTCGCCGTTGCACCGCCATGCGTTGCCGCCACCGCCGGTCACCCAGCTCACGTGGTAATTGGTGACGGGCAACGCCGCCCGTTGCACTGACTTGCTGGCCCTAGGCTTGTTTAATGGAAAGTGAAAAAATTAGGGAAAGATGTTTAAGAAAACCGAGAAAAGACCTCATAGACAACTTTTTTTTAACTTACTTTTACGAACTATATATATTTTTTGAGCTGTACGAAGAACTATTTGAATTGCCGACGCTGTGCACCCTGCGATTTTTTTTGGTGCGATCCGACCATCTGCAATTTGCAAAAGGAAAAGAATCCGCTTCAAAAAAAGAGGGGGAAAAGAACCGGATATTCGCATCTAAAACAAGCAGAGAAAAAAAAAGGTACCTGTCTGAGCCAAGGTTCGTACTGGGGACCACTAGTGTGTGAGACTAGCGTGATAACCAACTACACCACCCAAACATGTTATGATGTGACGAGCGAATATTTTACTTGACCATTTCTGTTTTATTAGGGAAATATTTTACATCGCCTTTGATGTGCGCAGGAGACATCGTCGTATTATGATCTTTGAGGAAAAATATCTAAAGATTCTAGATGGCGAGGCGGTTGGTGGTTAGCAGCAGCGTACTAAAAAACATCACGGGCGCGTCGAGCGCCGTGCGAGTTTGTTTGTCGCGCGCGCCCAGATTGAATCGGAGCCATGTGCAAGGGCCAAGGGCCAAGCATCTTCTCAATCAGGTCGGTAGAGCTAGAGTAGTGGCACTTCCGCGCCAAAAAATAAGAGGCGGTCAGTAGGGGCGCTGCATGCTTTGAGATCTGTGATTCCGTGGCATTGCGCTAGCTTAAGAGCATTTTTTTTTTCGGGTAAGCTTAGAGCATCTTTAACGGACCCGCAATTGCGGGACCCGTTATATTTTTTTCAGCGCCGAAATAGCGTTTTAGCGCGCTGGGCTTGTGTATTTGCTTTACTAGAAGC